GAGAGAGAGAGAGAGAGAGAGAGAGAGAGAGAGAGAGAGAGAGAGAGAGACCTTGCCTGTCTTATGGCATTGGGATTGTATGAATGATAGGACCTGTAGCTAAGATTAAAAACCCTACCACTGCTTTAGACCCACAAAGCCTTTGACAGACAGACAGACAGACAGACAGACACACACACACACACACACACACACACCCCTTATGAAAGCCTACCACTGAAAGCTCATGTTCTTAGCTCATCATCTAGGGTGTTGTACCCATAAGCCAGTCAAACCCTATCTTATTCCTGATAGAATAAGGCAGAGCAAGCTAGATGGCGAGCATCAGGAGGCAGGCAGTATCCTAACAGTATCAGCAGAAAGGAACCATAAGCCACATGCTTCTCTGTTCCATCTGAAGAGACTCCTGGAGTGAGCAGAGTGGGGTGAGGGATAATATGGGCCACAGTTCCCCAGCAGCGACAACTCACACGTAAGGTTTCTCAGCGAGGGGAAAATGACATTTCCTCTAGACTTTGTTTTGACAAATAAGTAAGTGGACAGTTCCGGGACCTTTGTTTCAGTGATGGTTCCCTTGCTCCTCCTCCTGACAGAGCAGGTCTCCACTCCAGAGATTAAAGTGCTAAACAAAACCCAAGAGACTGAGAATGGGACCTGCAGCTTGCTGGTTGCCTGCCTGGTGAAGGAAGGGGATCATGTGGCTTACAGCTGGAGTGACGAGGCTGGTACCCACCTGCTGAGCCAAGCCAACTCCTCTCACCTCCTGCACGTCAGGCTTAGCAGCCAGCATCAAGACAGCACCTACAACTGCACTGTAAGCAACCCTGTCAGCAGTCGCTCTAAGATCTTCAACCTATGGCAAGAAGAATGCAGGCAAGAAGTCTCAGGTAAGCACTTGAGTACCTCATCAATGGCAGATCCAATGCTAACTACTCCAATAGCTCTGCTTCCACAGCCAAGCTTTGCCCACAATATGATGTTTCACGTTTGCTTTATATCGTCAAAGCCTCCAGGTACATTCAACAAGGATGTTTTCCATGTTGGCCTGAGGTGACATTGTATTACATTTGATTCACAGATAAGGAATAAACAGGGAAGAAGGGGGACACAGAATCTGAGCCAGACTCAGGTCTCCAAGGGCAAGACTTTCTCTGTGCCTTCTGCTTTGGATCCAGTATTCAAGGATATGTAGGAAAGGGATTACAGGTTTCAGGTCCTAAATCCATGCTCTGTTATGATGAGATAGTTCTTTGCCAATGATAAACAGTTCACTACTTATGTTCTGGGCCATCAATAAGTACTTATGCTGCAAGAGAAGGGAATAGATACGATGTCTGATCTCTGCACCTCAGCAATGCATTGTAAATATAAGACATAAGACATTTACTCCATAATAATGTATAGGCTATAAGGGAAGGGCTTGTGCTGTGAATGGACTGTGAATCTTAGAGCCCCAGTTAGAGGACCTGAGGAATCACAGCCATACTGGCAAGGTACTTTTAACTGTATCCTCTCTTTGATTCACAATAAATTTGCTGGGCAGGTGCTGCTACCAGCTTGATATTACAGATGAGGAACTTGAAGTTCACAGAATTTAACTATCTCCTCAAGCTTCTTCAACTAGTGGAATCAAGGCCTAGATCTAAGTATTCTGAGTAGGTTTTCTCCTTTCCTGGGTAGAAAGCATCATTGTTCTGTTGGAGGAGAATGCTGATTATGTAAGCCAATCTAACCACAAAGATACAGAATAGACCAGTGCTCTCTCATGCCAGACTGTGTGTCTCTGTACGGGAAGGTTCAGGGAGAGCCCCAAAAGGTACTTCTTATACCCTGACATTGTCCTTTCTGAGGAATGGAGCAAGGGTCATCCCACTGAGACTCCAACCTGAATAGATGTCGATTCTATGTGACACACTAGATGGATGGGGACAGAGGAGAGAGAACTGTAGCTACATTACGTCTTCAGCATAGCACTTCCTGTGACAGAGACTTCCCACCACCCAGAAGACTCTCAGATAGGAAATACTCCTGCTGTACCCTAGAATATTCCTTTGAATTCTGTCATAAACCTAATGCAGTTATGTCATGGAAATAGTCAATCATCTCTCTGCTTTCTAAATGTGGCCCACAAACCATGTGTAGGCTATTCTATCCGGGTCCTCCCTGCCCACAGTCATTCAGAGCATCCTGACAAAACTAAGCAAACAGTACTGTATAGTGGGAAGCTTCCAGAATACGATCCCAGAGGTTTCTTTTTAATTACAGGCATAAAAAAGCTCAGCTTTCTCTGAGACTTTTATTCTTCATCTATAACAGACAGCAGATAGGCTTTGATTGTTCACTATGTACTGCCTACATGGCTAGGACATCATCAACCCTCACAGAAATCAAATACTATAGATAGTGTGAACATCTTCACACTATGAATGAAGTAAAGGGAACAAGAAAAACTATGAAAGGCTTGAGTAAGATCATACGCAGAGCCAGTGGGAGAACTGAGCTATCTGGTACTCAATTCTTATAGGTAGTCATAGAAGAGTGACTGCATTTAAAATACCTTAGGAAATCATGATGAAAAAAACCCTCTAGTTTTTCTTGGAGACAAGGGCAAAATACCCATTGTGCCAGGCTGCTCTCGTCCATTGTAAAAGCCTGTTTAGGAACAAGGAAGCAAAATTTTACACAAACCTATCTAAAAATGGAGATGAGTACTCCTTCCATGCTTCCAAATAGCTTGACAAGAATATAACTGGTGCATAGTAAAATCTCGGCAAGCCATAAAGTTTACACTCAAGGGCATTTGGCTCAGGATATCCTAAGCTAACACTGAAGATGACTTTACTCATTTAAGCATTTAAGCCACCCTGAGGATGACTGAAACACTAGTGTGTGTGTGTGTGTGTGTGTGTGTATGTGTGTGTGTTATGTAGTATGTACATAGGAAGCAGGCTGCTGTAAGGTATGGAGGGACAGCAAGTGGAGAAACATGATGCTCTGAGTAGAAGCCTATGGAGACCTCATCCAGCCAGTAAAGCTACTAGAAAAGACTTTCCTCTCTTGGGTCTCTGTTTTACCATCTCAAAGAGGAAAAGGGTCAATTGTTAATGTTTCTTCTGGAGGTGACATTTATGATTCAGTTCCTGAGTATGTCAACAAGAACTGTTAACAAGGGATGCTAAGAGTCTAGAAGTTTAAGATCAAGGTATTGTCAGGTTTGGTTTTTTCCTAACCTCTCCTTAACCAGCAGACAACTTTTCTCCTCTGTGCATCCCTGTGTGTCTCCTTTCCCTCTTTGATAGGACACCAGTTAAGTTAGATAAGGGCCCCCCAGTGACCTCATTTGAATTTAATTACCTTCGTAGCAACCTGTTCCCAAATACCACTCTGGTAGGCTTAGAACTTTAACATATGGGTTGGTAGGTGTAGTAATTAAACCTCAGTAATACACTAACACCCTAGTTTTAATTTGATTATTTTTGTAAAGCTTCCATCTTTAATTGAAGCCACATCCTAAGGACTTCCAAATATGGATTTTAAGAGAATGCCAGTTAACTTGCAGTTCAAGTAAATGTTCCCCTACCTCCAAAGATGGAGCAGGTCCTCACCACGTCCAAGTCAGACATATGGGTATTTTGCAGCATGACCTTTCCTCTACACAGGGCTGTAAAGGAAATTACCTAAATTACTGAAAACTCTCTTCTATTTGTCTATCACAGTGGTTCTCAACTTTCCTAATACTGAGACCCTTTGATCAACTCCTCATGTTGTGGTGACCCCCAACCATGAAATTATTTTCGTTGATACTTCCTAACTAATTTTGCTGTTATGAGTTGTAATGTAAATATCTGTGTTTTCCAAAGGTCTTAGGCAACCCCTGTGAAGGGGTCGAGACCTATAGGTTGAGAACCCTTGGTCTATCACTTTGTATTAGCAAACGGAAGTTGCTAATTTTTACAGCATGGATTTTACATTGACAAAATATCTATTGAGATTTTGCCATGTTCCGGCATGATGGAATGTACTAAGCACACAAAGGTCAAGAAAAAGAGAGATATAGTTTTTGTTCTTAAGAAGACAATTCTGTAAATAGACAATTATCCCAGATCACATGATATGAGAGGTTATAAGACAAAAGTATGTGCAAAGTAATAAAGAGAGGCAACGAACAGCACTGGCTCTCAGAGATCATCAAAGATGGAGCTTTGAGGAATGAGAAGTTATCCAAACTCATCGACAGAAGGCATCCTAAGCAGGGAGAGAAACAGAGAAGGCCAGCATTGCGTTCTACATCATCCTGCAGGTGATAGGAGCCAGCAGTTTTAGACAGAAACTCGGTTCCATTGTCTTTGCACTTCAATGAGAAAAACACAGTGGCATAGAGAATAGACTTGGGTCAGCAAGAGGCAAAAGAAAAAGAAATTTGTTATAGGGCATTATGACAGCAATCCATCCATATGAGCTGAGACCTGGGTCAAAGCAGTAACAGTTAGTGTAATAAAGACTTCCTACGCAGTGTGCTCCAAGGGAAACCTCAGCCCTAGGATGAAACTGCAGGGTAGGCTGACGGTTCAACAGACATTGTAATCAGTAAGTCAAAAGAGTTAGTTCTGAAGACATTTTCACTTTAATGAAAGAAAACCTCAAAGTCATTCATGGTACCTTGAGAACAAATATAGTATGATGCTGGCATGTGCTTTTGATGTGAGGCCTTAGCTCAACTGAACTGTGCATGGCCACATTTGTTCCTTGGAAAGAAGTTTTAATGACATTTGTCTAGGCCCTCAGTCATATAATCATCTGTGTTCTGGTGGCCACTTAGAAATTTTGTACATCTTCAATGTCCATTATAATACAGTCTCTTATGCCAAGGCCTGAATTTCTGGGCCTTACCTTTATCTAGCTCATGTGAAGCAAGCTAACATGGGTCAACAGTGTGTGGGACCGTGTGGGACTTGCTGCTGTCCTTTATCAGTATGTTTTGAAAGTATTATGTCTGTTTGAGGATGATTGATTCAAAATCTTAAATATTCAGCTAGAAGGGAATGCCCCTGGAGGCCCACACTAAAAGGAAGAACTTTTTCAAGAAATTATCAAAACGCTGGCTCAGTGGAAGGAAAGGCTGACACTGGAGCTCCACAGTGTCCCCCTCTCCAGTCTAGCAAAGCCTCATTTGCATAGTCACCTAGACATTCCATGCTCATGGTCATATCCTCTCCAATATCAGCCCCATCAAGCCAACACGACAACAGTGGCAAAAGGTAGAGGTGGGATACTTCGAGTCAGTTACAGCCTCATTATGTGGCCATACCTTTTACCAGGAAAGCTAGGAAGTACAGTTATTAGTTGGGTGGCTGTGTGTCCAGAGCTGACGTGTACCGCCAGGAAAGAATGGGAGAAATGATTGGCTGGTATCCTTTGCAGCATTATCTAGGTGGAACAGGCTGCCGTGGAGAGTTTCCAGAAGGTTTGGATTCCATGTAATAACTTTCTTAGATGTTCCCAGACTTGAAATTGGTATCCTCTCCCCACCCCCAGTTCTCACTGGAAACTACCACTAAGAAGGCATCTCTTGAAGAGTGTCAGCTTCTTCAAGGACCTGTGCTCCATGCCAGAAACCTTGCTGAGAAAAACCACATGAAAGGCAGGAAAGAGATCCGGTACTCTCAGACCGTTATGTGAGCATCTCAGAGGCTCCCGGGATGAACTACATTCATCTCTTAGGTTCTGCTTTGTTTTCTTTTTAATCATCTTTAAATAATATGATTTAAGGACTTTAAGGGAGGGAAGCTTTTGTGTTGCCGTGACAACTAATTTTCAAAGACAAAAAGGAAAAGAAGATTGCCAGCATTTTCATTGGAGGGAGGTGTGGCTCTGTGCCAGTTTTCTTGTTCAACTCGAAGCTAATACTAGAGGACTACAGGGTGGAGACTCTTGTAAAGTGCTTGCTCCTCTAAATAGTACAGGTGTTTTCAGTCAGCCTACTTAGCTGACTCTGAGAGATTTCTGCAAGGAGAAAGGCATCATACCTTTGGTTCAAAAAAAAAAGAAAGAAAGAAAGAAAAAGAAAGAAAGAAAGAGAGAAAGAAAGAAGGGAAGAAAGGAAGAAAGGAAGAAAAAAAAGACACACAGAGAGAAAGTTGGTTGATGTTTTTTGTGAATGAAAGGCCTGTAGAGCCAAGGACTTTTATCAGATTTCTGAGAACCACCATCCTGAGAGGCTTCACTACATGAATGAGCAACAGGAGAAAGAGAACGGGATCTTCTGGTCTGAAGATGGGAGCAAAGGCCATGTGTTGTGGGTGCCTCCAAAAAGCACACCCTCCAGATTCGTGTTGTTATTACAAAGCTATGTCAAGTAGGTCATCGGTACTTCCTTTGACTCCTGTCTGAGGGCATTCAGAAAGTAACCCAGCATGCCTTCTGAGACCTTCATATATTTAGCGCTCTGATAACTTTTAATAAAAGAATACATGTCAGTTCTCTATGATCCATTCGTATTCAGTAATTTAAGTTCATCAAATGTATGTATAGTTTTTTCATGTCCTATATTTGATGGAATAAGGGTGTGTAAGAAAAAGAATAAACACAGATATCTTTAAAGATATCTAGGTAGGATTTTGGTGACAAAGTCTTCTTCATTTGACTAGATAAAGAAAATCATTTTTAAAGAGACTACTACAAAATTTCTCTCTAGAGGGTTCACAGTATTTAAGACATGCTTTAGTAGATGCTAAAAGACAGACAATTAGACCTCCCACCAAGGAATATAGATGTGCCCTAGAAGCTCCGAGAAATGGGAAGACGCTGTTCATACAGAAGCTGAGCATCAGCTAAGGGAACAGGCACATGCCTCTTATACCCGTGCTGGGGATGCTGAGACAAACAATTGCAAGGCCACACAGCACATTTCTAGGCAAGCCTAGCCTCAATGAAAGAGCCCTTCTCAGCAACAATGACAAAAAGAAAGGGAGAAGGAAGGAAAAGAGAGAAGGAGGAAGGGAGGGAGAGAGGGAGAGAGGGAGAGAGGGAGAGAGGGAGAGAAGGAGAGAGAGAGAGAGAGAGAGAGACAGAGAGACGGATGATTTTTCCCAGTTCACAGAAGAGTCTACTCCTTGAGACTCTTTGGATCTTCTGAAGATGAGTGAAACATATAGATTCTTGGTGTAGAGTTCTTCCATTTTGCTTTTGTTTGGTGTAGAAATGGATAGAGAAATCAATCCTTGCACAAGGATAGCACAAGTAGCTCAATATGAACAAGCCTCAGAGGACCACAAGGAAAGCATTTCCAGAAGCTTTGGCAACCGTGGACAACCTGACCCAAACAAGCTAGATAGGCAGCATGGTGTCCATATGTGCCTGAGTTCCCCAGGGCTTATACCATGGTCAGTGAATAGCACCAAGTGGATGACCATTAAATACAGGCACCTCGGGGCCTGCTGCATAGACAGGAAGGCTTTCTGTTGATAACAGAGGTGATCTCCAGCCTCCTAGCAGTTTACTGGAAAACTGAGACTGGCAAAAGCAGGTTACATTCATTGATCATGTGACAATTCTGAATACTTTATATACGTTATTATTGTGGTTCATCAGAACAACCCCATGGACTAAATTTTTTATGCTTATTTTATTGATGGTGAAACAGGCCTCAGGGAGTATGAAGGACTCTCTGAGATACTTAGTTATTAATTAGTACACATGGTACCGAATCCATCTGTCTGGCTTATAATACCATCATTTAAAATGGTTTGCCTTGCAAAGCGAGTGGTGGAAAACACAGGTTCTAACGTCGATTGCATTGACTACACGAGATGCTGAAGTCTTGAGGAAAGGGCAGAATGAGGCTGGGATGTTCAGGAAAGGTGACACTGAGGACGGAAGAGTGGCCTGAGCATCGGGCCTAAGCAGGTGTGGTGGGCAGCTGAAGCATCATCAGGAAGCAAGTAGAATGTGGAAGGGAGATGGCGAAGAGATGGGTTGGCCACCCTACAGGCCTTAGCTCTCCCGGGCATCAGAGTCTGCGGCTTTGCTAGTGGGACTCTCATCTCCAGAGTCCGTCAGAAAGCTTGAACTCTACAGTTCTTCCCTTCCCAGCTGGGCCACTGATGTCTTCTAAAATGTTACACATACTTGTTTTCTCAACACGAAATCAGTGGGTCATGTAAATTAAACACTATATATAGTTCTGTTAGCCAACGGTTCTATTAAAAAATAGTCACCAATATATCCATACATATCTTAAACAGCAAAAGGAAAACTTAGACTTGATAACACATCTTCCACATTGCCTCTCATATCTGGCTGAAGCTGGTCATTTATGTCACAGGAGATAGACAACAGGTTGATTTAATCCTCCTGAGATGCCCTAAAGAAAGACACAGGCCTGGTGTTACCACACTGGAGGCTCAGTCATGTGCTTCTGTGAGTGGGTTGTTGGCTTATGTGAGTAGGTGGGTAGCAGGGCTGCCAGCAGGAGGCCTGTGAAGGCGACAAAGGTGGATTTGGCAGGCAAATCTCCATGAAAGCCAGTTGTCTGTTATTTTCCAGTTTCAGGGGCGTTGCCTTGGTTTTTGGTCTTTTTTGTAAATCTCATATGAAATTCGGAAGAAATATTATTGTTGGAAATGATATAAGTGGTTCAGGTGTTTGTTCTTAAATTCGTGTTTGTTATAGACTTTTTCATGATATGTATATATTAGAAGAAGAAAGAGGAACTCAAAATAAGAAGCACTATGATCATGATTTGCTGGACCAACACCTCAGCTTTGTGAATGAAGCTCAGGCTGTGGTCTCTGCTTCTTACCTTGTACTGGGGAACTTTCTCTGTGTGTCCCTGGAACTGACAACAAAGAATCTGACCCAATCAGACTCCTGGTCAGACCTACATGTGTGTACATACACAGAGAGCTCTCAGCCACCATGGTCAGACCTACATGTGTGTACATACACAGAGAGCTCTCAGCCACCATGGTCAGACCTACCTGTGTGTACATACACAGAGAGCTCTCAGTCACCGTATACTCTTCAGTGTGTCATGCAGAATTGGGTAGCTCACATGCTGCTGTCCTCATTTTATGTATTATACGAAACCAACTCTGCTTATCCATGATTGTTCATTCATTCATTTATTTGTTTTTAAGGCAAGGGTCTCACTCCACAGCCTTGAACTTTCAGCCCTCTGATTTGAGCCTTCTGATTGGTGGGACTGGAGGCATAAGCCACCAGACTTAGCTTTTCTCCTTTTTTTGACCAAGATGGTTGAAGTTGGTGTTTGGCAGGGTTAAAACATGATTTACTTGAGGAAGCGAATCTGTCATTGCAGTGAGATGTCTTGTGACTAGCTATATAGAGCGCCTAGGAAGAAAAGAACTCTTTCAAGCCCGGAAGAATACTTCTAGTAGCTTTTGGGCTAGAGCCTTTTACCAGATTTCTGTGTATATTTTTATCAGTTCTCCAAACATCCGGATTGTGCCTCCAACTACTCTGCCTCTTTGTAATTCACTTAGTTCTTCCTTTCAACTTCTGATGTATCCCTCAAAGTTTCAACAGTCAGGAGGTTTATAGTTATATATATATGTATATATGTCAGGGTAGGATGTTTTTAAACCCCCATTTTTTTTCACAATCAACTTTATAAAGTGCCCCTACACATTAGTGTTAATTCCTGATACTGCATTTGTCTCTCTAGTAACACTAGAACTTAGTGCCATTACTTAGAAACCTAGTGCTTTGAGTGGGACCTCACTGCCTGTTCTAAGTCCAGGAGTCTCTGTGACTCCCAGGAAGTCTGTCTTTAGTATTTGGTCATGTTTTCTCTCCTATTGCTAGCTCTAGCCCTAGACTTCTTCATGATGTTTCCTTGCTTATAAAACGGGAATAATAAAAGTATCCACCTTTTAGGCTTGCTCTGATTAAATATGTATACAATTTGCTATCAAAAGCATCTGACTGTAAGTACTTACAAGTGCCCAATATTATGTTAGTGTGCTATATATCTTGTTGAGACAAAGGTTGATTTTTACAAAGTGGTGTTCTTGGTTCAAAAGGATTAAGCCCAGTGGCTGAAAGAGAGAAAGCTACAAAATTTGGATATGTGATTTCAAGCCTCAGTTAGCTTTGCTAATTTAGAATGGGATAACAATAAGCAGGAAACACTACATGTGTTTCTTTTGGTTTGGGTCTGGTGGTTCAGCATAGTTATTTGCATTGAGAGGCAATAATAGCACTGTTGTGTTTATTTTTTAAGAAGAAAAGCAGATTTCTTCCCCCAGGTTGTCTCATGGGAGTAGTTTTGGGGCATGGGGACAAGCGCACTGGACCATCATATCCCTTTTACCAAAAATGGACACATAATACATTCGATATTTTTAAATGGAGGAGCAGGACAAGAGATTGGCTTAGGAGAGAGATCGATATGTTAAGTTTAAACAAGGGGAAAAAGCATTTCATTTAGAAACATCTTTATGAAATTAGAAATGGGAAGTTAGGGCTGGTAAATAAAGTGAAGGTAAAAAGGTAGAGATGGAAATCTTAATGCTCTAAAGCTGATCTCTAAAGCCATGCAAACAAAAATCTCCCTGGGGAGACAGACACAGCAATGGAGGCTCACTCCCCTCTTTTTTGGGTGGGGGAAGGCTCACTCCCCTTGCTTCTGGGAGTGAACACACAATGCATTTTGCTATTGACCTTTGACTTTTTTTTTTTCAGAGTCGAGTTCATGGATACCATATACTGCTGTACCATCTGGGGTCATTTTAATCATCATCCTGGTTTCCATGGGAATAATAATGGCGAAAAGACAAGGTAGGCTGTATTTCAAGGAGGCATTTCTTGCTGGGCTCCCAGTGGTAAGTGGAATAGATTTTATGCAAGCATCAACTCTTGTATATAGACAATAAGATTTTGTACGATCTCACTTTAAGCACAAACTCAATCTTACTACTTTAGTTTTCTGGCTGGGAGCCCTGTGAAAAATAATAAAAACATCTCGAGACCTGGTCCCGTTCAGCACAGTTCTAGTCTATTGAACCCTGTACAGGTTAAGGGAATCAGTAGAGGACAGAGCCACACGTGTCTAATGTAGGAGACATTGTGCAGACAATCTAAACTCAACACTGAAGTTTGGCTGATTCAGAAGACTAAAGGAATCAGAACAGGAGGCATACCATACTGAGATTTACTAGAGAACAGAACTCAGAGGACTCTTGGATCCATCCATGAAACATGTCCTAGGGTGGGCTAAAAACAGTAAGGCTATGATCCTAAGTTTAAGTGCTTGGTATTTCTTCCCAATTGTCCTGTTATTCACTATCTCAAGGGTATGTGCACCCTCAGCCTTACTGACTACCACCCACTCATCTGGATCAGAGCATTCTGACTCAGATGTCCTGGTTGGCCTTCCTTTAATGAGGGCAGAACAAGATGCAGATCAATGTCATCCATATACAGTCTTCTTAGAAAAGCCCTTACCTCAGCACATTGGTGTTGGTTTTGCTTATATAAGATGTCGATCACAGCACAGATGCTTACCTCTATCTCATTTCCTCCACCAAAGAGTTCACTGAGATGGTGGGGGTGGGGTGTGTTATTCAGATACAAGTTCTGTTGAGAGCTAAAGGTTTGGGAGTGGGTCTACTTAGTTTTATCAGAAAGCAGTGAGAGATGGAGGCTAAGAAAGCAGATGGAGTTTTCCTTCTCGTCCAGCTAGCAAAGCTATGCTGTTTTTCCACACACATTCCACATGGTGTTCTGCTCAGCACATGGCTGAGCTCTGAGGGAGCGGTGCTTCCCTCCCCCCAAACTCCCACCAAAGCCCACTTCCACTCACCCTCTAAACACATATCCACCTTTTCCAGGCACCATTTATGCCTTGTATGCCTGTGCCAAAATCTACATCCAGTTGCTATGTCCCCCACAAAATACTGCTCAAGGGATTCTGTTGGCAATGTCTAGTGGTATCTGCTCCAAAATGTCTCCTGAATTTGAAGAGTTTTAGCTTAGTTTCCACCTCCAAGGGAATACACTAGTTAAGAGTGTAGGCATGGGGTAGAGTGCAGTGAGACAAGTCTGTAGTAACAGCTGCTTACAAGTCTGAGGTAGGATGATCACTCCAGCGCATGGATTCTAGATCAGCCCTGAGCTACATACTAAGACCCCAACCCCAAATAAACCAATAAAAACGTGAGACTTTGACCTTAGACAACATTCAAATGCACTTTGCCACCAATGAGCTGTGTAACCAAGCAATCTTCTCACCATCTGCAAAGCAAGAATATTATCCCCTTTGTGGTATTGCTGTGGTGATTGACAAGCCAATGCACAGAAAGCACCACACAGTGGTTTTCCTGCATGATGCACGTGTATACACATACATCTATACGCATATACGTCTCTTGATGTGAGTAGGTAAATGTTTAAGTCTTAAGGCTAGTATAGAGCTATACTGGAAGATTCTAGAAACAATAGTAACAGCAGGTTTAAAGTACTTGAAGCTACAGTCACATAAGACAACTTCTTAGACGCACCTTTAATCCCATCACTCAGAAGGCAGAGATAGGAAGATCTCTCTTTTGAGTTTGAGGCCAGCCTGACCTACAAATCCAGTTCCAGAAAGGGTGGAGTTACACAAAGAAACCGTGTCTCAAAGGTAAAAATTAAAAAGAAAAAAATCCTCTGGTTTTACAACTACAGTATAGCAAATGCTAAAGCTACCTTGAAGGCTAAGGTCTAGGACTCGGGTCTTTTCCATAACATCCCAAGACTTGGCTGACATGGAGCCAAATTTAGCTGGCTCCTGAAAATCTGTTTCTGTACTGATAAAGAGGAGGATGGGAGAAAGGGAGGGAGGAGACAGAAGAAAGAATCTAAATTATCTCGATTCAGTGGTCTTTTTGATCATTTGAGACTGTCCTGTCAATTCTAAATTTTAACCTGAGAGGGCCTGCAAGGTTGAAAGTCACTAAAAAACTTGAGTACATCCTCAATTTGTATCCCTGACTGTACCTAGAAGGGGGCTGGGCAAACAAGTCTCACTTTGCAAACTCTAGTGGATTTGGAATGAAAGCATATCTCATAGAAACACTTTGTACCCTTCTCCTACCCCCAACCCCTGCTGAGAACCTAGGACCCCCTACCTTCCAATTCTTACTCTTCTTCTCTCTGTGTGTCTCTGCTAACTCTGACTCTCTTTCTCTCTGCATGTCTGTGTCTTTCTCTCTATGTCTCTGACTCTCTCTGTCTTTCTATCTCTGTCTCTCTATTCTGTCTCTCTCTTTCTGTCTTCGTCTCTCCATGTGCCTGTCTCTTTATGCATCTCTCTCTGTGACTATCTGTCTGTCCATTTCTCTCTCTCTCTCTCTCTCTCTCTCTCTCTCTCTCTCTCTCACACACACACACACACACACACACACACACACACACACACAATCCACTCACTCACCAGTGAGATTAGAACAATCTGGCATGCTATGCCCACAGAGGAAAATCACCCACTGACTTTGCTAGAATTCCTTGAACTTCCCCAGTGACCGACCATTGTTTCCTTACCAAGAACCACACCCGAGATCAGCCCTTCCACCACATTCGCAAGACTGGGTTTCTCTTCCAGACCAGAGTGTACTTCTTGGAGCTATTATCTCAGTGATAGGCTTCCAGGTTTTGAAGAGGCTAAGTTAATCGACATTAGTAACTTTACTCTAAAAATTACAGCTTTTTCTGACCTGAGCTTCCATACTCAGCCTAGATCTTGCAACAGTCCCCTGCAAGTCCTCCACAGGGCAGGCTCCTGTCTTTCCACATATTGGCTAGTGCATGATGCATGCAAGAGGAGTGGTTCAGTGTTAGAAAAAGTACATACATGGAAAGCCGAAAACACCATTTGTGTAAAAAAGAGAAAAACCTATAAAATATAACCGATATCTAACACTGTGCCATCCAATATTTAATCAAATTACTGTTAAGTAATGGTGTCTTGGTTCACTGCTCACACAGCTCAAGTACTCACTTGCCACTTGTGATTATTAGCCTATGCAGAGGGATTATTGATGTCTTCATAGAGAACATTATATTGTCCAAAGATGGACATACAGGGAGCTTTTTAATTGGTTACTTCTGGGGATGAAATGAGGTTGGTTAATGAGGGAGAGGGAGTTACAGGTTATAATCTTATGTATTTCTATCCTTCTTGAATTTTTATGATGAGCTTCATTGTAACTTAAAAATGTATAACAATTCATTAATCTATGAAGACCTCAGACCCTGAGCTAGTTTTCTAGATTATGAGTGTAAGAGTGGTAGTTCTGAGTTGTTTTCTAGATGCCTCCAAGTGGATCATCCCGCTATACCACCATCCCATACACACAGAGCAAGCCCTCCAGAAATAGATAGAGCCGTGAATCAAGCCAGCTGGAGAATAGAAGACATTCTCTAAATAACAAGCTGTGACCTCAGGAAACCTAGAACCCTCTCAGGAGAACAGATAACACACAGAACTAAAGATTAAAGCAACCGAATAGAATACCACAGCAATGAAATGGCACCCAAGCTGGGAGTCATGGCATCTGCTCCAATCCTGGTACTTGAAAGACTGAGGCAAGGAGGATTTTGAGTTTGAAGGCAGCTTGGGCTATAGAATGAGGCCATGTTTTGGCAATGAGTGGAGCATAGGAGGAGAAGGAAGAAGAGGATGGAGGAGGAAGAGAGGGAGGCTGAGGTGTTGAGAAGAAAATGCTCAGCACATATAGGACATTTGTTATCTGCTAGAGTAACTGGTGTGGGTGCTTTGCAAGTGTCGTCTTATTCGGTTTCTCAGCAATCCTATGAAACAGGCATTTCAAATTTCATTTGCTAGGTAGGTCTAGACAGAACAAATCACCAATCTAATGCTGTGAATGAACAAGTGGAAGCTGAGAACTAGTGCCTCATTCTTATGGCAATGCTGGGGGAGGTGACTATCCCGTAGAGAGGAAAGGCCAGACAAAACTGAGCTGAGGGCTCACACTGAGGACTAGAGAATGGTAACCACTGTGTTTCTTTCTCTCCAGGTAAACCAAATCATTGCCAGCCACCAGTAGAAGAAAAAAGCCATACTATTTATGCTCAAGTACAGAAATCAGGAGTAAGTTCTATGCTTTCCTTGGAGAGTGTCTGTCATATTTTCCACAGAATTTCTGATAGGCTGCCTTGCACACATCCATGGTCCTGCAGAGATCTAGAGTAGATGAACTTAGGAAATTAGAAGAGTAAGAACAAGAGCTCCCCGAGTGTCACCGGACCCCTATATTGTTTGAAATCATAGAAAACACTGGGTAATCTGGTCACCTGCTTTTTTTGTAGTAATGAATGAAGTTGTAAGCACACGACATCGGATGCTTTCCAGCTGCAGTATTCTAGGTTGGGAACTCCTAGAAATTCTCAAACTTGCTTCTTGAAGGTTGTAGGCTTGGGGAAGGAGGGGAAATATGGCAAAACTACTGTGTAGTATACAGGCCAGCCTGCTCCAAATAAAGGCATCTGCAGAGTACAGTCAGGGCCAGAAAGGGAGTACCTTGATAATTCTAGTCAGAGAGGGTTCAAATGAAAGATGACAACATGTTGAATAAGGAAGAGGGGGAAAAAGCTGAGGTAACATGACCACTGAACTAAGCAAGAAGTGATGGGAAAACGTGAGACATGATGGAGTCAGGGAACAGATATGTCAGCAGTGAAAGATGGAGAGTTTACAGGATCCTTGTTAGACCCTGTTGTTTTCTAGACATAGCTAACTCTAGGGAGGGGATTAGCCCACAGTCAGCCCATTTATGATGTGGTGGGAGCATATTCTTGAGTAAAAGTTATGAAAGTAAGGATGATTGTATAATAATACAATAAATAAATTTTCGATAATTTAATAATAAATTAACAGTACTGGGCAAATTCCTTTCTGCTGCCTGCTCGTTTCCTGCTGGGTTTATTACCTCACCCATGGACACCTATTGAGAACAAGCCTCCATTTAAAACCATGAGAGACCTAATAGTACTCTCTCGCCCAAAGGTACACCTAGCTGAGTGTGTCTTTTAGAATCAGCTTCTCAAGTATTATAAAACAAAAAGTAGGATTGCATCAAACCTACCGACCTACTTGAGAAGAAATTATATCTTTCAGTTTGAGTCTTCTACCCATAAGGTACCACCCACATTGTCATTCCCTCCAAAACACCTCTGCACCACAGCTGCCTGGCTCCTCCCCAGAGATAACCACAATCCTCCGTTCTAGAAATGTAAATTATATTTTTTCTTGACCATTATAAAAATAGAGTCCATTGGTTTCTGCATCAGGTTACAAAATTCATGCATGTTTTTTAATTCTCGCTGGCTTATCAACTATCAATATATGAATGTGCTGTTTTAGAATATGTTTATCCAGTTACGTATCAATGGGCATCTGAGATATTTCCAGTTTGAGGCCTTTATGACCATTACAGTTATGAAATTCATATGAACATGTCTACATATTTGATGGGCACAAGTCTAGAAGTAAATTTGCTGAATGATGAGAGTATTTGGATTCCCCAATCAACTGGATGAGACCAAACTGTTCTTCAGAGTGGGAGTCAATCTGTGTTTCCAATAAATAAGTCTTAATAGTTTACATGCTAGCCAAAAATTACTATCAGCCGTTCATCCATCCCAGCAGGGAGGTCTTATTATGGCTTATTTTCCTGAGAAGTAACAACTTCTTATATGTGTATTGCCATATTAAAATCACCCGGCTTTCAAATCTCTCACCCACTTACCTTTGTATAAACCAAAAGGCCATTTTAGAAGTAAGCCCTTTTGAGGTTAGATCCGTATCATGTGTGGCTTGCCTTAGTAACTTCTCAGCAAGACATACTGATAAAAATACTTCTTAATGTCAGGGTAGAACAAGTTATAACCTCATTCTTTACAGCTATTAGTTCTTACAACCTGTTGGAGAAGCTTTTCTCAGTCCTGGGTAATGAAAATACTCTTTCAGTATCCTCTTTCATATTTATTTGTTATATACCTAAGAAATAGTTTTGAGTTTTTAATAGGAAGGACTAAATTTTCTTTTTTTTCCACATGTGTATATTCTATTTGTCATTTGTTGTACAGAGTGTTCCCCAACTGCCATACCACTTTCATTATAATTTGAGGTCCCATTTATGTGTGGTTCTATTTGATGTTCTGTATTCTGCCCCATTGTCCACTGCCTTGATTAGAGATATAAATTGTGATATCTGATAAAATGAGTCTTCCCACTTGGTCTTTTTCTTCAAGCATTCTTGACCAATTTTGGTACTTTGCATTTGATAGATAGTTCAAAATCGATCTGTTAAACCCTTCTCACTAAATATTACTAGGATGTTAATTAGCACCAAACAGACCAGTGAGGAGAGTAAACATCTTCATTGTTTTGAATCTTTCCTATCCTTTAAGTCTTGTTCAGTTTCTACATGTGACATTTTATAGTTTTCCAAATAATATCTTTCTAATTTGTCGATTGGCATTTTATATTTTAAAACACTATCAACACTACCTTTTTCAAAAATTTTAGTTCCTAGTTATTTGCTATCGACATATCAAAAACTAACTTTTGTATATCAATTTTGTATTTGCAACACTGCTGAATTGGTTTATAAGTTCTTACATTTGTTTGTTAATGACTTGAGTTTTCTCCAACGTCCTTGCATTATCTCCAAAGAATTAGCTTTTCTTTTCCAAATCACAGAGCTCTGTCTGCTTTCCTTTGCCCTGTTTCACTGGCTGAGATTTCCCACATGGTGGTGACCAGAACCAGTAACAGACAGTCTCATAAGGTTCCAGATTTGAAAAGAAAACTTTTAATACACCATCATTAAGTATTTTTGCTGAAAATTTTCTAGTAAGCTCTTTTCCACATTAAAAAATATTGTTGAGACCTAGAGATTACTCAAGGGTTAAGAATGTATAATGCTTGTTTTAGAGGACCTGGGTTCAGTTCCCAGTCTGGCAGGTTACGTCCATGTATACACTTGTAACCCCAGTTCCTGGGGATGCAATGTCCTCCCCGTTCTAGCCTCTGTAGGCACTTGCTTTTCTGTGCCTCTTCATAGTCAGTCTGAGTATCCCCTACACACACACACACACACACACACACACACACACACACACACACTTAAAAATAAGATAAATCAACAATATATTGGCAGGGTAAGCACAGCCTGTAATCCTAGCACTTGGGAGGTGATGGCAAGATTATGGCAAATTCAAGGCTAGCCTGAACTATGTAACAAGTTTCAAAGAAAGAAAGAAAAACAAACAAACAAACAAATTGTTATCTTCTATTCCTGGTTTGCTAGACAAAAAAATGTATCACAAGATGATGTTCTATTTTACCAACACCTTCTTGCATCTGCTGCTCTAACCTTCTGGTTATTTTGATGCATTTTTCCCTGTAATTCTCTGGAATATTTGGCTGGGATTTATTGTATTTCTCCCTTTATATATTTGGCAGAGCTTACTGGTAAGATTGGAGTTTCTTTGCTAGACGATTTTTTAAAATCGTATTTTTATTATTCTACTTTATTCTCTGTTGTATTAGTAATTAAATAACTGTTTTCTCTATTTTTAGTGGATACCCTAGAGATTATAAAATACATCCCTGACTTCTTAACATACATTTGTTCCTATTATTACCCTCCACTACAACACTTTAGCTACACTATAATTTTGCATCTTGATTTATATTCTATTGATTTTAATTTATATGTACTTTAAATATATAAGACATTATTATTTTATATATCAATAAAATATACAGACTCACATCCTTACAATTTCTTTCATTTATGTTTATCATGATTATATTATATCATTATAAAGATGATAACAGATAATTATTAAAAAATTAGCATTTGTCTTTTCATCATAATTGCTGTATGATATCTGTATAAAGAATATAACAACAGCCAGGTTTCATGGTTCATGGCTTTAATCCCAGGCTGAGGCAGGGAGATCTCTATGAGTTTGACGATATCTTGGTCTACATATTGAGTTCCAGTCTAGCCAAGGCTACACAGTGAGATTCTATCTCAAAAAAGCAAAACCAGAACATATCAACATAGAAAACTAAACAGCTGTTTGCTTATCTGGTAGGAACCGCTCCAGAGTGTATCATGGCTCCTTCTTTGTACAGTAACTTCAAGGGTTTGCATTCACAAAGAATATGCAGAATTAAGTTATACAAGTTATACACCTGATGTTCTTCCAATTCCTGGAGACATGAAAGTCAGCGACCCCAAATGAAGGCAGGAGAAACAAAAATCTGCTCATATGGCTAAAACTGTGTTCAAAGTAACTCCTTATACCTAGATAAAAATCCTAAAGGGGAATTCAGCAACATAGCTCCAGTAGAACTTCGGGTGGTGCCTTTCACACTCTTCTTTGCAAACTTTCCCAATTGAATGCAGAAAGTGTGGGTTATTTACTAAAGCCACTATTCCTACATTTCGATCTGGTCACACTAAAATTTTTCCAACCAGGAAGAGAAGAGAAGGTTGCATCAGTGAATAAAAGTTGATTATCAAACTGTTTTTATGTGCTCCTCCACCATTGCATCCCTAGTCAGAAATTCTTCATTAAATTAAATTTTTCTCCAAACTCTATTAACTAAGAAATGTATGGCAATTTCAGTAAACTTTTTTTTGAAGCATTAACAAGGGATAAGGTTGCCTTGGGAGGTTGTAAGCCCTGAGAGATAACTTGGGGAGTGGCTACAGTGAACTGCAGGCAAGTTTGGGAGTATTCTCACCAGGGAGGAAACTAGAGTAAGTGGCTAAGGAGCTTTTGAACTTGAACTGCTTTTCTGTGGGCCAAGGTGGATGGGACCCACATTTTTGCTCATCTAATCTGCTTTCTTTACTTCTTTTGTAGCCTCAAGAGAAGAAACTTCATGATTCCCTGACAGATCAGGACCCCTGCACAACCATTTATGTGGCTGCCACAGAGCCTGCCCCAGAGTCTGTCCAGGTGACATATCTCTGCCTTTCCTCACTGAATGTCTGATAAGAGACAGAGAAGGGAAAGAAGGATTTTATTACTTATTTTATTTTATTTTACTTCATTTTTTAGTAGAGATGGAATGAAACAGATTGGTGAGTGGCAGACTAGGAGAGCGGTCTAGATCACACAAGGGGCAAGGAAAAACTGCAGCCAGGGTTAGTGAGGGCTTACACAAACCCCTTGATTCCATCTCACAAGCTGTGGGTTCCTATCTACTGGCTAGTATCTCTCTCAGAGTCATCCAAGGACCACGTCTAAAAGACCTGGCATACTTGTTAAAAGCAATGAATGAGTACCACATCTACATCTGGGTCTTACTAGCCCCTATAAAAACTCAATAGTGTAGACTTTTCTTGGCTTCTCCAAACTATACCCCAGGACTGACCATAAGTTGGAATAATGGAAAATGGGAGAGGAAGAAAAGAATTGTTGAAGAATTCAGTGATAGTTATTGTTGGTTGTCAGCTTGATTGGATTAAGAGGTGCCCAAGAAGTTGGTAAAGTCCACCGTTGGGTGTGTTTCTGAGGGTATTTCCAAGGGCAGTAGATGATGAAGGTTCTGACCTGATTGACAGGTTCCTGATACATGATGGCCTCATAATGTAATCATAGTGTTAAAAGATGGAAAAGCTAGGTGGTGGGGCCATGATGGAGGAAGAAGCCCACCCATTGTGTGTTTTTGAAGCAGGATTGGTATTGCTCTGGTTTCTTTTGGTATCCTGCTTTAATGTTTCCTATCTGCCATGATGTGAACTTGCTTGTCTCTTTTCTTTGACTCTCCTTGCCCTATGAAAAAATCTATTAACTGTTTTTGTATTACTACAACCAAAGTATGTAAGAGAACAACTTTAAGGGAGATTTGTTTTGGCTTACAGTTTCAGAGGATTCAGTCTATCATGAAGGGGAGATACAGCATATCATGGCATGACTGAAGTCCTGATTTAAGAGAGTTTCTTTCAGAGGAGGAGAGGGAGTAGGGGAGGAAAGAAGAGGGGTGGGAGAGGTGTGGGAGGAGTAGGGGAGGGAGGGCAATGCCAGTCTTCAGATAACTAGGGGCAAATCTCTCATTTCTCTGATGGCACACTTATGCTTGGAAGAGAGAGATATAATCAAATTTGCAGGCAAACACTTGGAGACCCAAGTGCTGGCTCTAGCCATGCCCGGACAGTGTCAGCCTGTAAGCATAATGCTATGCTGTGTGAATTCTAAGCCGTTCCTTTCCCCAGGGAATGCTGTTCTGTTTCCTGCCTGTGAAACTTTTCTCTATTCCTTCACCCACAAACTTCTTCTTTGCCCATAGGAATCAAACCCCACCACAGTTTATGCCAGTGTGACACTGCCAGAGAGCTGACCCATAGACCCAGTGAAAGGACTTTTTGAAGGAGGATAGAAGGACCAAAAGACACACTGAACTGGGCCCCAGGTCCCAAGTTCTCTGTGACAGAAACTGCACATCTGTACCCTTCTCCAATCAGTTCCCTGGTGATGGATCTGCACAGGCATGCCTGTGAAGTAGATGAGGAAGTGAGGCTTCTGGAGCACGTAGCCTGCCCTGCAGCTGACACAGACGTGAAGCAGAGATCCCTTGACACATCGTTCCATCCTTGCTGTGACAGATAAAATGCATAATGTGAGTTCAGGCATCTCACTCTCTGCTGGGTTGGATAACAGAACCCCAAAACAACAACAACAACAACAACAACAACAACAACAAAACTAGGACAAAGACTCCTTTTCAGATGGCTGAGCACAAGGTACAAAGACTGGAGACATTTTCATTTTGACTCTCTGTACTTTATTCTGGAAGCTGATTCTGATCACCTCAAGACCAAGGGTTCTGTGCCTCAGTTTCTCTCTCACCCTCTAGATGAAGAGGGAACAAAGCATAAAGAATGAAATCTTTGTTGTCTGAGATCATTCTGTAAAAGAACTGATATTTTATTTGCAAAACCCAAGCTAGTAATTCAATAGACTTGAAAACGGTTGGGGCTCTCTGAAGCTTCAAACAACAGAATGGAATCCATCTAAGGTTCTTCAAATTACAGTTCTCAGCAAGCAGCATTGTGTTTAAGTCAAAGCAGCAATGTTTGGTAATGCTGTTGTAAAGTTGCCTGGGATACTCAGAGGAACTTGTCCCAGGGAGGTTTTTTCACTTCTTCAAAGAACTTTTGACTTTAAGTTCTCTGTTTACTCCCTTGAGCAAAACTCTGCATCCTCAAGATTCTCTCTCCGTTGGTTGTGAGGCCATTTTATAATCTAGGCCTCCTGTGGAAATACAGGTCTACTACCCACTTCCTATCTCACTGCATACCTCTGTGTACTAGTAAATTTAACCTCAAGTAGAAAATTAAATTATTTTGATTTAACAGTTCCAAATGATTTGATGTTCCGTCTCTTAGATAACAGGTAGTAGGAAGAGTCTCTGTAAAGTCCTTTTTCTTCATGTTGTCTGCCCTCAGAGAGGCCAGGCCATCTTTCAACTTATTGTCCTTCTTGCACAACTTTGGCAAATACTTTAAAAATAACCATTGTGGAGATGGGGAGAGGTCTAAATGGATAATAGTGCTTTCTTTGCAAACATAAAGATCTGGGTTCGAACTCCTAGTGTCCATGTGAAAGATGAGTGTGTATGAGTGTGCCTGTAACACAGAGACAGACAGGTCCTGAGACATTGCTCCCTAGCCTTCCCAGCCTGGCATAAACGTCAAGTTCCCTTAGAGTGACAGAGGAAGACACTAGCTGCACACACACACAGTAATACACACACACACACACACACACACACACACAACCCTATTGTATCATTGTATGGCAAAGAACACCGACTGCCCGGCTCAAAACTCTGATGCCCCATTACCCTGTACCTTTCTGTATTTAGATAATTTACAATGTAAGTCCTGTTGCTCCATGTATCCTATTTTGTGTTACTAACTTATATCAAAGTATTGCTAATTATAATTAACAAAAGCTAACTTCGGATTTTTTCATATAAGAAAGGAACATTGAAAATATGCTATTTGATTCAAGTCACTACTAGGATATTCCAAAAAACCTTCTTTGTTACTCTACTCTCTAGAGTAACAAAATGTATAGAATGAATATGTATTGGATATGGTAAATATTCTCATATATATGAATCTATGTACATTATATGTATACATACATGTATATATATGGATTTATTAGAATAATTTACAGGCTGCCAGTCAAGCTAATCAAACTATGGCTGGCTGTAACCAGAAATTTCAAGAATCCAGTAGTTTCTCAGTGCACAAGGTTGGATGTCTCAATTGGTCTCCAGTAGATGCTGGAATCCTGAAGAAGTAGGCGTGAATGGCAGTTAAGGAATGAGTACGTTAGCAAGGCAACCAGGTAAAGAGCAAAAGCTTCCTTCTTTCGTGTCCTTATATAGGCTTTCAGCAGAAGGTGTGGATCAAACTGAAGTTGTATCTTCCTGACTCAAGATCCAGATCAAAGGCATGATCTGGATCAAAAGTGTGTGTCTTCCAACCTCAACGGTCCTGACTAGAAGTGGATTTACCCAATCACTAATCTCTCCCAGGTGTTCTCCACTTCTGGATTATAGTTCATTCCAGATGTAGTCAAGTTGACAGCCAAGAATAGCCATCACTCACCTCTGAAAGTAAGGAGGATAAAGGAAGAATAGACTGTGGCTAGGACCATGGCTAAAGTTGCAAAGCTACCCTAGGAACTATGATGCTGGTTGCCACTGTTATGTGACCATTGTCTACAGCACTAGGCGTAGACTCTACCCCTGCAAACTGCTTCTGCTGTGTTTAGTGACATGATAGTAGTTGTCATTTTTGCATTTCCACCACCAAAATTTCTCCCTACTTTATCTTTTCATCTCTAGCTTCTAATTCAATGTTTGATGCTTCAGAATGGCCAACCCAAGGTCATATATCCACATATCACATCTCCAAGGGAGGTTACAAATTTGCTATCTGGAAGCTTCTACTTTTGCAGTAGCTGGTAAACTCTACATTTTATAAATTTAAAAGTTTCCTAAAGAGACGTGAGATTCAGGTGCCAGGCAAACAAACAAAAAAAAAATGTTCACTACATGCCCTTATATAATTTTAGACAAAGAATTTTTATTAATTCTTTGAAAATGCCATATATGTACAACATTTTTTGATCTTATCTACCCCAACATGTCCCCTAGGAATCCACCAACCCCTTTACCTTCTGACTCAATGCCCTTTTTTATGTTATTATTACTACCATCATATTAGCCCTCTGAGCCCAGTTAGTGCTTACCATGTGAGAATGGGTATGGAGTCATGCACTAGCCAAGGGTAATCTATCAGTGGCCACATGCTCTAAAGAAAAGTAACTCCACCCTCAACAGTCATCAACTGTAGGCATCTTATCAGCTAAGGATGGGCTTTAAGAGATCACTCTCAAGCCGAAATAGCTCAGTTGGAGAGCATTAGACTGAAGAGGTCACTCTCACAATGATGGATTTTGCCTGGCTTGATCTTAGGCAGCTCTAGTGCAGACAAGCACAGCTACTATGATATGTGCATCAACTATATCGTGTCTAGAAGTCTAGCTGTCTATTCTTAAAAACGTAGAGCTACTTAGAACAGACACGTATAAGCCTGAAGTTACAAGCTCTCATTCACGTACTGCAGTTAAAACGGCTCTACGAGATCAGCTCCTAACACTTGGGCTTTTCCTGTGGCCAGATTTTACTGGACGATGATACAGAAACCAAAGAGAAGGAGATTCTATTCCCAAACTTTCCTGAATCCCTAGGCTCCAGACCTCACTGATGATGGGAACTTTGTCTTAGAGGCGGTCTTCTCAGCCACCCATCCAACAATGCTTGGCCTTTTTGTTTGTTTGTTTCCTGCAATCACACTACTGTTTTATTTTATTTTATTTTATTTTATTTTATTTTATTTTATTTTATTTTATTTTATTTTATTTAAGGGAGATGGAAGAGAACCCTTTCTAGTACGACACTTGTGTACGTCAGTCTTCCCCAAAAGGCCCTGAGTGAGTCAAGCTCACCTTTCCCTCAGGCTGACAGCATTGGAGAAGAGACTACAGAGTCAGAATTCCCCATATTGCTTTTCCAATGTTGGTGTATTTTTTGACCAAGCATTTCTGAATTCTGCAGAAGTCAGGAGGAACAGATGCATTCTCAGTTTTAAGACACTAAAGCTCTGGTGCCTGGGTGGAGTCCTCTGATTCTTTAGGAGTCATGCAGCCTGTGTGTGATTGTTACAGCGTGCACATGTTGGCTGGGAAGACATTGAGTGCTCATTCTCCTCCTAGAATCTACAGTTCTTCTACATTTTAAACACGAACAGAGGTTTTCTATGCAGCCCAGATGAACTCCTAGTCCTCTAATTCAGCCTTCCAATTGCTAAGATCATGGGTATGTGTTTATAGTTCGACTTGTGGGAATTTAATAAGGTACAGTCAACCCACCAAGGAAAGTTTGCTTCAGTTTTGCATTTCTTAGTATAGCAATGAGGCTGGATATGCTTAGCAGCCCTGTCTCCGAAGCCTTTTCCCTGAACACCTAAGGTGGCTGCTTTGGCGAGATGAGCTGAGAGGTTTTACTTCCCCAAGTGAGTGGACAAGAGTGAGTCCAGAACCTCTCCTTCTAATAAACCTGGGATCCACCTTCCTTAGAGGAGACAGAACTGTGTCTAAAAAGCGTTTGACTTTTTGTCATTACAACAATAATCCCCTTTGCTAAATTTCCCCCAAATTTCCCTCAGAGAAAAATCTGGAGGCAGAATTCTTGACTGACATTTGGGGCTGAGCAAATTTTCGTCACAATGGATATTCTGTTCATTTAACAGATGCACAAACTGCCACCAACACAACCTCTACCCTCCCTCTCTATGACTGAAGGTAGGGCATTGCCTAAGGTGTGAGACCCTGAATTTGAACCCCAGCAATGAAAAAAATTAGTGTTCCTAGGTATTGCCAAATTTTCCCAAGTGGGCAAATTATCCAGTTGTGACCCATTGACCCCTGGACCTTTAGTTAACAGGGTTCTCTAGAGCAACAAAACTTATAGAATGGATTGCTCTGTCTCTGTTGTCTCTGTTGCCATTAATCAATCTCTCTCTCTCTCTCTCTCTCTCTCTCTCTCTCTCTCTCTCTCTCT